TAATATTTTAAATGTTAGGGAGTCTGAATGATTAAGTGATAAATCTCAAGAGGTCTAAGTATAATTCTCCAAATTTATCATTCGTGATAGATAGACATAAAATCTTTGATTTTCTATTATATTAGGTTCGGTTTTAGTTGTTAAATTGATGGTCTTGAGTTTGGTCGGTCGAATCTGTCGGCACACTCTTTTTGACAGCTATTTGGGTTTGGGGCGTCTTTGATTGCAAATGTTATTATTTTTTGGTGAAGTTTAAATATGCATTTTTGAATCAATTTATTCTGATCAACTACTGCTTGCCATCCAAAGAAATTCACTGATAGACTCCAATAAATATAATGGTAGATGCTTAAAGATAATAAAAATCAACAAACTTAAAAACTAAGTGAATCCAAATTCATTCGTTCAAACCCTTGTGGTCCGAGGAACATAGAATCTATATTTTAATAAGTTTCTTTCTCTATTGTTTTGATTTTTTTCCCTGGTTTTACTTGCTTAGTTTACCTAGAGAAAAAAAAAGAAAGAACAAATATTTTGTGACAATACATTCAAAAGATTGGAAAAAAGAATTGATTGAGAATGAAGAAAAGGAGAAAGAGAGTAAAATAACAATCTAGTTAATAATATGTGAGGAATAGCCCTTCCATACTAATCTCTTCTGATGAGCACAAAACAGATTATACACAATCAAACAGTCAAGTATATGATGTAGGGTAATTAATGAAACAATTAATAGCAAAAAGGCAAAGATTGTGTGGTTGGGCCGAGGTGACATAACCATTGAAGACAACGACAGTGGGGGAAAACTTTATTAACAAAGTAATAGGTGGGGGAGAAAGAGCAAGAGCAAGCTCTAAGTGTAGTGAGGTAGATATATGAGAGATATAGCTGTGTGGGAAATGTATCTCATGTGTAGAGGGCTTGCAATTTATAGACACAAAGTCTTAGTTAAAGTGGTGACATGAATGGTAGGTTACTAGTCTTTCGAGGAGGATATCTACAACTAAAGATAGGTATAATTTAGGATATGCGTGATCTTCGAGCAATAGCTATTTCGATGATTGCCTCCCATGTGCGGTCATCTTCCTCGCTCTCTTGAACTCTGGACTGAGATGAGGCCATGAGCTGGGCTTAACCTACCTTTTAACTGATTTGGGCTCACCCCATGAATTGGGCTGGACCTAGTTAGGTATTGGCTCATCATTTACCCCCATGCTCCAAGCCCCAGTTGTAACAAAAAGGGTTGAGGGTATGAGTGAGCCCTTCATCTGGATAGGCAAAAGGTTTCTTGTTCGACATGATAGTAGCTTCTTCACTTCCCCTATCTTGTGGCTGAGCACCCACTGGGTCATCACCAGGTCAGAGGGAATTCCATATTTTGGACCCCCTTCCTCCCATTTATGGCATTTTCCAAGGGTTTCAAGAGGTCATATATATAGATCCTAGAACCACTTACTTTCCTTATTTTCCATTATACTGAGGATTGGGCTAAACACATCTCTTCGCTCTCATAGATCACAAAGAGCTTCACCAAGAAGATGGAGATGGAGATTAGAGATACATTGACGACATCGTTTAAAGCCACAATAACAGGGTCGCAGATGAAATTGGGCATTGGCGATACCTTGTCAAGGTCTGGCAAAGATCCACCCATGGTGGCGCCAATCATTAAGGGCGATGACCAGCTCCACGGGGGTTGCACTAGAAATGAGGTAGACTCCAGCACTAAGTGCAATAGATGGCTAGGCAACACCAACAGAGAAGAGGAGGGCGATGCCTGGGCAGAGGCAGCGTTAAGCATGAGCTGATAGGCAAACTCAGCAGGGGGCGATGCCCTAGGTAGAGGCGGCACCTGGCGTGACGCATTGATGGGCGGTGCCAAGGGAGGCTAGGAAGGCGCTGCTTTTTGTGGTTTGGGATCAGGAAAGGGTGAAGCCAATGGGCGTCCCGCGGGAGGTGGCCGATAGTTTGGGTGACATGCCTAACGTTGAAGACGACCATGGTGACGTTGTTGGCGTGACTGGTGGCGTGGACAGCGCCCCAAGAGCTGCTGATGGAGGTAGAAGTAGCGCTGACACTATGGGCGGCGATGTTGTCCACGCAAGGCAAGGAGGCAAGGCCTTAGGTGCAAGCTACGCGTTAGGTGTTGGTACAAGAGGCACACGTGAAACGCTGAATGACCTGGCCTTAGGTGGGTAGCCTTCAGGCATCAGTGGAGGTCAGTTAGTAGGTTTGTCGAGCTAGGCTTAGTTATTTTGGCATTTATCTTGACATTGACTCTTTGACTTTATCTTGACATTGGCTCTGATTTTTGGTAGGTGCCCACTCTGAGAAAGGCGTAAAAAAGGGTACTACACCGGATTTAGAGCGAGGCAAGGGAATTGCAAACAATGATGGTTCGAAGGTATCCTCTATTTTTAACTCCATAGATTATGACGATAATATTGCCAATATTGTCTCATCTTTCCATATCTCTCCTGCTGTACTATGTCACCGGGCTGAAGAGGATGAGTTGACGTGTTTTGACTCCTTTGGGGAGATTATTTTTTATGAGGATGTCCTTGAGGCGGGATTGAGGTTTTCCATGCCTAGGCCTATCTGTCAGATTTTAGGCCACTTATAACTAGCTCCGGGGAGATTGACTACCAACAATTGGAGAGTAATTCTAGCATTTTTCTCACTATGGCGATTAGTCCATGACGAGGATGTTTCTCCCCTTTTTGAGGAGTTCTTTGATTCGTATGTGCTTCTGGATAATCCTACTCCACATCAGGGGTGGTACTATTTTGCTCCAAGGTCCAGTAAGTTTAATACTGGACTTCCTTCAAATTGTCTTAGTTGGAAATCTAGGATTGACTTTGTTGGAGCTGAAAGGGTTTCTGAGGAGGATTGTGACTTAGTGCCTTCGAGATGGGACGCTACTCCAAGGACCAAGCTATGTAAGGGTTTTACCTTTGCTTTTATATCTGACTGTCATGTCCCTTGTATTCACTACATGTCTAGTTCCTTTGCAGCTCCACCCACATTATCTATGGAACAGGAAAGTAGGCTCTAGGCCGTGCGAGATCATCCTATCAAGGAGTTTGCAGCCCTTATATCCGCCGTGGGTCATCCCAGAGCCTCCCCTAGGCCAAAGCGGAAAGGTATTTGATCTTCCAATAAACTTTGATGACTGTTATATTGAAGATTATTTTTCTTATACCAGTTTCACAGGTGCCATTGTTGATACAACGATGGTGGAGGCTCTCTATGCTTCTAGGGTATTGTCTTTCCCTTTTACCAAAAGGGCGAAGGCCGATGTCCAATGTCTCTTGGCGGTCCGACAACCATGCTATATCTCGAGAGGTTGGATCAGAGGATGTCCCCACTCTTTCTCAGCACATAGCTCCTTCGAGTACTAGGGTTAGTCCGGCCACTACCTCGGGGGTTGAGACTCATGTGTGGCCTTTTGTTGGGACGGGGGTACCACGTTGTTGTCTAGCTTCTAGCAGTGGTTCGGTGTCCATGCTGCAGGACATGAATCTTGCCAAGGAGTAACTATGGAGAGGTCGATTCTTGGGACCCATAAGTCATTATTGACACCCCAATGGTGTGGTTTGCTATGATATGCTTTCCTCCTTTCTAGTTTTGATTTTTGCGCTTTGCCTTTTCTTTCTTGCTCTGCCCTTTGAATGCTTGTAAGTGGCTGCTACTTTTTCATGCATTTTTTCAAAGACAATCAAGTTTAGAGAGGCACCAATAGATTTGGCAAAAGAGAGGCATGCACGAGAGGCTGCTGAGGAACAGTTGAGGCTAAAGAGGTAGGTACGAGAGGCTACTGAGGCACAGTTGAGGCTAACTCACAAGAGAGTTGCACCTTTTGAGGCCGAACTTTTGGCGTCCCACGAGAGGGCCACCCAGTTAGAGGCTGACAGAGAGACTGCTTGTAGGGGTGTTCACCCTACCCTACAGATAGAAAATATGCTCTTCCGTCTTCCTACCCGATATTTTGTGAAAGAATTTTTTCTTGGCCTACTCTATCTGAAAGTTATGGTATTTCTACCCGATTAATCCGGTAGGAAGTCGGGTAAATATTTTTGTAATAATTAATTTTTGAATTATTTTAATAATTTAATTAAATAACATGCACCATTTATTTAGTTTTGTGCATCATCACTAGCCTTGGTTCCAAGGTCATTCCAACAAAACACCACCCACCATACCAGCACCATCCAAAAAAAAATATATATTTGAGAGAGAGAGGTGGTGTCTGCCCTTTAAAAAGAAAGACATATGCAAACAACATCCAACTAGAGGCCATATTTAGGTTCACTCGTAAGTATACACAAACAGAAAGACAATAGACAGATCTGCAACATAGGAACAAAGGCCAGGCCATCATGATCTGCAACATAGGATAAAAACCCATGGATCTGTAACATAGGATCTGCAACTCAGATCAGACGCGAACAGATCGCACATTGATCTGTAACTTATGACCAGATTGCGCACATCGGCACCGATCTGTTACTGTAGATGAAGGTCTGCGATTAGACTTTCCAAGTCAGACCACACCTGTGAAATCTAGAAAAATTTGAACTTTTTCTTAGAAAGGGCAGAATGGTAATTTGTCATCCTAATATGTATATAAAATACTCATGTTCTAGACCTCAGATGAGAAAATGGAGTTAGTCGTTGGATTTGTATCGCAAAATCTAGTCACCCTGTCAAATTTCGTCGAATTTTGAGATAGTCAGATTTTTTGTGAGGTGAATGACATTTTAAAAGTCCCCAAAAATGATTTTTTTTCTTAAAATTAAGTTAAAGTTCCAATAAAATTAATTTGAACTAAATCCAAGGTATAACGAATCGTTCCAGGACAAAAAACGGACCCGAAAGTCAGAATTATGCGGTGCAATTTGGACCACACATTAAGGGGGTATAAATAGGGGAAAATATCTAAAAAATCAGATATTTTCACCCTCATTTTGAGTCTTGTTTGGCCGGCCAAAGAGAGGAAAGAAAAGAGAAGCTTTCTACCTCGGATCTTTGAATTTCCGTCACTCGGACCAAGAGCTATAGTTCATCTCCTCGACGAGGGTTACGCATACGTACCAAAAAAAGTGAATTTCACCGAAGATCCAAGAGGAGATTTTGGGAAAAATTAAAGTTTTGAGATTGTTTTGGTGTTATAGAAGTTCTCTACACTTCTATTGAGGTAGGGTTCTTCTTACCTTGGTTTTATTCCTCTCCTTTGGGGCTATTTTAGGGCCGGTTTAGGGGCTAAAACTATCGACTGTTTTGGGGTTGAAATGATGGACCATTTTGGGTTAAAATATGGACTGCTATGTGGTTGTATTTTGGACCGAATTTGAAAATATTTTATGGCATGTTTAGGGACTATTTTGTGGCTGAATTTGGGATTGTTTTATGGCCTATTAATGGGTTGTTTTGTAGCTGAATTTGGGACTATTTTATGGCCTGTTTAGGGGCTATTTTGTGGCTGAATTTGGGATTGTTTTATGGCCTATTAATGGGTTGTTTTGTAGCTGAATTTGGGACTATTTTATGGCCTGTTTAGGGGCTATTTTGTGGCTGAATTTGAGATTGTTTTATGGCATGTTTAAGGGCTGTTTTGTGATTGAATTTGGGGCTGTCTTATGGCCTATATATGTTTTGTGACTTATATAAGGGCCTTTATGTGGGCTATTACATGAGCTATTTTGTATTATATTGCACATTTGTGATTAAGTGTATTATTGACATAAAAATTGTGATAATATGCTTGAAATTGTGTTATGAAAATTGTCAATGTATGTACATGCTTGTGTTATATTGACATTGTGGAGAATAATGAGAATTATATGCTTATGATATAAATTTTTCCATGAAATATGTAAAATGTATTGATATTGTTCATATGTCTTTCACAACATATTGAATATGTTATAATTATGCAATGGAACATCATATTGCATATGCATGGTAACATCGCATCATGTGGGTGTGTGCATGGTTGTCGTCAACACGACACTTGGTAGATGACTAGTGGACTCCATTAAGCTTGGTCGAGTCGCACAGGTTGCATGGTGATTAGGGTTGGGGTTAGCAAGGAGGGAGTAGAAGATCCCCCGAGTGCAAGGCCCAGTGATTGGGATACGCACTCCCTTGGCTTGACCCATGAAGTGTGTGGGCGTACGTGGAGTCCTTGGTGGAAGTCCATAAATTTCGAGTAGGTTGGAGACCCTTGGTGTAAGCCCATGAACATCCACCCCATACAAAGACCCTAGGTTGGTAAAAGTCATTTGATGTGCAATATAAATGACGATTACATACACATTGACACTTGCATGTGTTGAGGAGCTGGGAAGGGCTAGGGTTAATTTGCATGAGTGAGTCTCATCTCATTTCATGACATGACATGATAAATTCCAACATTGAATGCATATTCTTACCTGGAATGTTGATGTAAATATGAAATGTTGTATGTAAGCATTGCACGTGCACTTAAGTAGGGAGTAGCCTTTGTAGGAATTACTCTACTGGGCGTGGCTCACCCTATACGGAAAATATTTTAGGTTTTGGATACATACCGGTGGACGACCCTCACTTGGATCCTCAAGCGTGAAGAGAGGTCGGATTGTGGCCTTTAACCTTGGTTTATGTAAAACTATGTTTTGGACATGTACTGTATAAAAGAATTGTAACTGAGATTATATGAGCTGTTTTAATATAACGATGCATATGTTATTTGAGTATGAATAAATGGACCCGATGTGGTCAAATTTTACTTATAAATGAACCCGGTGTGATCATTGTGTTATATTGGGCCTCGAATAGGTCATGTTAATGTATATTGCACAGGTTGTATTTTGGATAGAGCTCCGGTACAAAGGAGACTCTGTCCGAATATTGTTAAATTAAGGACCCCAGTAAATGGGCCATAACGGCGAGATATCGAGTTACTTGGTATCCAAAGGTATTCTGCAGGTTGATGGGTAATCAACAGACCCCTGAATTTTGGGGCGTCACAACTTGGTATCAGAGCATAGGTATAGGATTTACCCAGGGCTTGATGGGCATGGGTTAAGACCTTTGCATTCATTGTACATTTCATGTTATGTGCTAAATTTTGCTACATGATTATGTGCTATGTGTTATGTGAATTGTATGCATGGTAAAAGACATATGAAAAAGAGAAACACTAGGATTAGAAAACATAACATTGGGTTCGAAAAAAGGAATGAACGGTATAGTTCTATGTGTAAATGTCTACTAGTAGGTGACACACGCACTACTAGTGAAACAAGGAGGAAAATCTGCAAGTTTAAATACTTGATCCCTAATTTGGGATATTAAGTAATTGATCTATTGCTATCTTAATGTTTGTGTAGATGGCAACTAGAGGAAAGGGACGTCGGGGTG